ACTAATGTGACTGCTACCGATAATGGGACATTTCCTGATGGAGCAGATGAATGCCACGTGTAATTGAGTTCCGTGTAATTTATGATTCTGTTAGTTTCGAGCTAGTGAGCCATAAAATGTGTGTTTTGCATTCGTAGAGAACGAAGTTATCGAGGCTGTGAATCGCTGTGATTTATAGCGTGTGTTATAAAAGTTGTTAAGTTTAAAGTGACGAGAAACGTACTGACTGTGGAATTAATGTGTACTAAAAGTTTGTATCGAGGAAGAATAAACTGCTTTAATCAAGAAAAGACTTGTATCGCTGAAGATCCTCGGAAAATAATCTCTACCGGAAATTAACAAACAAGCAGATACGTAGCATTGTAATATTTACCTTTCAAGATTGATCATACTTGTAATATTTACTAAACAAGAAGTAATGTAACATATACACAAGAATCATCGAGCACATATTGCAAGCACTACAAAATTGACGTTTTAAATTGCCTACAAATAAGATGACTGAGAATGAAATAGTTATAAGAGTTTCCGATTTAACTATTTTAATGAAATAATAGTATATTTATTTATTTTAATAAAATAAAGTTGTGCATTGACTTCAATACGCCGGAAGTCAAATAGGTTAGCCGGAAATTAATGATGGCTACATAATTTAACAAATAAAACGGACTAACTAACCAAACCGTACCCTATACGACGAATCAGTAGTCAATGAGTTAGATAAATGAAATAGTTTTTTATGATTTACCTCTTTCGAAAGACCGTGGAACGACAGTAAAGTCTTATTTTGTAGTAGTTTTACTCAGAAAGAAATACTAAAATATAATTGTTGACAAAGTTTAGTTAAATTGTTTGCTTACTTTCTTAAACAAGATTCGAACCTGCGAGCCAAATGCCCTAACCACCAGGCCACGTCAGGAAACGAGCAAAAGATAAAACTACAGTTTGAGATATTAAAACTAATAGGCTTAGTTGAAACTACTTAGTTGGGCTTTGCCCATGTAGAAACAATGAGGTAATGGCATTTCGATATATATATTTACAATCGTGATAATATATAAATATATCTGAATACTTTCAGGACAGAAAATATCGTTTTTACAACTGGAAGTCCAAATTTCGTCCAAAAGAAAACAAACATTGTCTTTCTAAAGACACACAAAACAGCTGGCTCCAGCATACAGAATATGTTAATGAGATTCGCTGATCGACATGATCTACTCTTAGCCTTGCCAGCAGAAGGAAACTTCTTCGGTCACCCTCCGCCTTTTCACCACAGTATGATCTCTGACCCTCCTGATAAACGTCATTACAACATATTCACACACCACACACGGTTTAATTATGATGAGCTCAGACGAGTGATGCCAGAAGACTCCATTTTCATTACAGTTCTCAGGGATCCAGTTGATCTGTTTGAATCTTTGTATTCCTATTGTAAACTAGAAGTTTTATATCGCAGACCTTTGTTTTCATTTGGCATTAACATGTCAGATGAAGAAATAGAGGTGAGAATGAAAAGTCTTGCGGAGGTCGGGATAAATCAAATGTCGTTCGATTTAGGAATGAATCCTAAAGATTTCAAAAATCCAGTCAAAGTCCAAAGATATGCCCACATATTGGATACACAATTTGATTTGGTACTAATAACCGAACATCTCGACGAGTCTTTGGTTATTTTAAAGAATATATTAAGTTGGGAAACTGACGACGTAGTGTTTTTTAAACTTAATGCTAGACACGAAACATTTGTTAAGCATTTACCCTCAGATGTTCGTAAGCGTTTACAAAGTATAAATTTCAGTGACCAAGTCATCTACGACTTCTTTAAAGAGAAGTTAGCTGAAAAAATTCGCAAGTTTGGTGAGAAGAGACTTGCTCTTGAAGTACAGGAACTCCGGAGAAGAAGAGAAGAATGGGCGAAGTTCTGCGTGAAAGAAACACAGTTACTTATTGAATCCGAGGATGCTAAAAAAACTTCATATTTAAACTCACAAGTAACGAAATTGAAGCCGAGACAAGACAATGATACATGTAGGAAGATGACAGCTTTAGAATTGGATTATACAGAAGAACTTCGACAAAAACAGAATCTTCTTTATCTTAAACATCGTGTAGGATGATCAAAATGTTCTGTATCTTAAACATCGTGTAGGATAATAAAATTGTTCTGTATCTTAAACATCGTGTAGGATAATAAAAATGTTCTGTATCTTAAACATCGTGTAGGATAATAAAATTGTTCTGTATCTTAAACATCGTGTAGGATAATAAAAATGTTCTGTATCTTAAACATCGTGTAGGATAATAAGAATGTTCTATATCTTAAACATCGTGTAAGATAATAAAAATGTTCTGTATCTTAAACATCGTGCAAGATAATAAAAATGTTCTATATCTTAAACATCGTGTAAGATAATAAAAATGTTCTATATCTTAAACATCGTGTAAGATAATAAAAATGTTCTATATCTTAAACATCGTGTAGATAATCAAAGTGTTCTGTATTTTAAACATCGTGTAAGATAATAAAAATGTTCTATATCTTAAACATCGTGTAGGATAATAAAAATGTTCTGTATCTTAAACATCGTGTAGGATAATAAGAATGTTCTATATCTTAAACATCGTGTAGGATAATAAAAATGTTCTGTATCTTAAACATCGTGTAAGATAATAAAAATGCCCTGTATCTTAAACATCGTGTAAGATATTCAAAATGGTTTTTAATACAGATCTGAAAACAACAAAATATGAAAAAATAATACACGCAAAACGACATTGTTTAGTCTGTTTTAATAAAATAAAAAATCTGCTTATTTGTTTTATGCGAATAAAGTTTAAATTTCTTTCTTTTCTTAATTTGTTACCGGTATAGCTAGAAGAAAACTACCAACATTTCAGTTATAGCAAAATTAATTTATGTAATTTGTATAGATTTTCATTGTTATGTATGTGTAATTAAGCTAAGTATTATATGTACAATATAACCGGAACACGACAAACATTCGTTTACAAATAATCTACTACAAAAATGAATCAGTTAAAAAAAAAAAAGATAGTTAAGATTATCCTTCGGACAAATCAACAACAGAACTGAAAATAATATACAATGTACTTGAATAATATAATATATTTAGTTAATATAGCTACTAAATCAGTTTCACTGACAGTATCATCCAATCACAATCCGTGAAAATTAGAAGTGGGTAGATTTTGGGTAAATCAACTTCTCTGGTAAAGCCAAAATTAGAAATGAGTAGATTTTGGGTAAATCAACTTCTCTGGTCAAGTCAAAATTAGAAATGAGTAGATTTTGGGTAAATCAACTTCTCTGGTAAAGTCAAAATTAGAAATGAGTAGATTTTAGGTAAATCAACTTCTCTGGTAAAGTCAAAATTAGAAATGAGTAGATTTTGGGTAAATCAACTTCTCTGGTAAAGTCAAAATCAGAAATGAGTAGATTTTGGGTAAATCAACTTCTCTGAAAAGGTCAAAATTAGAAATGAGTAGATTTTGGGTAAATCAACTTCTCTGGTAAAGTCAAAATTAGAAATGAGTAGATTTTGGGTAAATCAACTTCTCTGGTAAAGTCAAAATCAGAAATGAGTAGATTTGGGGTAAATCAACTTCTCTGGTAAAGTCAAAAAATTTTGACTTTACCAGAGAAGTTGATTTACCCAAAATCTACTCATTTTTAATTTTGACTTTACCAGAGAAGTTGATTTACCCCAAATCTACTCATTTTTAATTTTGACTTTACCAGAGAAGTTAATTTACCCCAAATCTACTCATTTCTACTTTTGACTTTACCAGAGAAGTTGATTTACCCAAAATCTAATCATTTCTACTTTTGACTTTACCAGAGAAGTTGATTTACCCAAAATCTACTCATTTTTAATTTTGACTTTACCAGAGAAGTTGATTTACCCCAAATCTACTCATTTCTACAGAAATGAGTAGATTTGGGGTAAATCAACTTCTCTGGTAAAGTCGGAATTAGAAATGAGTAGATTTGGGGTAAATCAACTTCTCTGGTAACACAACCCTGAGAGAAACCGTCAGCAATTAATTCTCTTCGTATTAATAACACAACCCTGAGAAAAACCGTCAATAATTAATTCTCCTCATATTAATAACACAACCCTGAGAAAAACCGTCAGTAATTAATTCTCCTCGTATTAATAACACAACCCTGAGAGAGAGAGTTTTAACAATTAATTTTCCTCATATTAATAACACAACCCTGAGAGAGAGTTTTAACAATTAATTCTCCTCATATTAATAACACAACCCTGAGAGAGAGTTTTAACAATTAATTCTCCTCATATTAATAACACAACCCTGAGAGAGAGTTTTAACAATTAATTATCCTCATATTAATAACACAACCCTGAAAGAAGTTTTAACAATTAATTCTCCTCATATTAATAACACAACCCTGAGAGAGAGTTTTAACAATTAATTCTCCTCATATTATTGGTAGTGCTAGCATGATCATGAGAGAAAAGGTTTAGCAACTAATTCTCAAGGACTAAGAAATTAAAAGTGATGTCAAATACCTTATAATATGTCAACCACACTACATCTTTCGTATCCCGTGCTGACGAGTACTGTCGTATAATACCAGAGCTCATCAGACCGGTTGAGATGCGACAGACACGGTAGTTAATTATATCAAATTTCACGAACAACGACTATTATAAAGTGAACTAGATTTTAGTAAATAAATTGTAATTATTATCAGCCTTATTTAAGTCAATTTACAAATCGAATTTTAGGGTAAGGAATAATAACACGGTATTATTGGTTTACTTTATTTTTAATAACAGTTATTTAAACATAAACCTTTATCAACCAGTTATCGTCTGTATTATTGTTTGTTGCAATGATTTCAAACTTGTATTTTTCACAAAATTATGCAATAAAGTGTATGTCTGTAATATAATATTGTGAAAGTGGTAGTAAGTTATTTAACAAGAAGCTATGATAAAAACGCCACGAAACCGTTACGAAATTAAGATTATTAATAAAAAAGTTGTATCTGAACAAAAACTTTTATTTGCGAGTATTTCAGTAGCTGCCATTTTTATCCTCTAACGTCTGTTTTCAGTTAATAACTTTATTAAACCAGTTTTTATTGAGAATAACTTTATTAAAACCGTTTTATTGAGAATAACTTTATTAAACCAGTTTTTATTGAGAATAACTTTATTAAAACCGTTTTTATTGAGAGTAACTTTTCTCAATAAAAACGGTTTTAATAAAGTTACTCTCAATAAAAACGGGTTTAATAAAGTTACTCTCAATAAAAACGGTTCTAATAAAGGTACTCTCAATAAAAACGATTTTAATAAAGTTACTCCCAATAAAAACGGTTTTAATAAAGTTAATCACAATAAAAACGGTTTTAATAAAGTTACTCTCAATAAAAACGGTTTTAATAAAGTTACTCTCAATAAAAACGGTTTTAATAAAGTTAATCACAATAAAAACAGTTTTAATAAAGTTAATCACAATAAGAACGGTTTCAATAAAGTTACTCATAATAAGGACGGTTTCGGTAAAATTTATTCCCAATTAAAACGGTTTCAATAAAGTTACTCACAATAAGGGCTCACATACAAGACACCCGTGTATTATACAGCTTATTCAATTTTTATTTATATCTTCTGTCTTTTTGTGCCATAAATATCTTCATCTGTCCGCCAACACTCGTTGTTTGTGACTATGTATGAACGTTTCTATAATTATTTCCATTACTGTAGGCCCGGCCAGGTGGTTAGGGCGTTCGACTCGCAATCTGAGGGTCGCGGGTTCGAATCCCCGTCACACCTTTCAGCCGTGGGGGGCGTTATAATGTTTCGGTCAATCCCACTATTCGTTGGTAAAAGAGTAGTCCAAGAGTTGGCGGTGGGTGGCGATGACTAGCTGCCTTCCCTCTAGTCTTAAACTGCTAAATTAGGGACGGCTAGCACAGATAGCCCTCGTGTAGCTTTGCGCGAAATCCATAAGAAACAAACCATTACTATATTATTTGAAAAACACATGTGTATATTAAGTTCCGTAATTAAGTAGTAACATTTAATTCTATTTGCCTTACTTGATATTTTAAAATCATATTGTTTTCGAGTGACATACAATGTCTTATATCAAGAAATAATGATGATTTGAATCACATTCATTGATTTTTCCAATTTGTACTGAATAAAGTTAAAATATTTGTTACATGAATAGAAATCCATTTCAACTTTCGCAGAACATATTATAAAATCATCTTATTAATGCCATTACTACATGTTATATATATATATATATTAGTTT